AGGAAAGCGGCCAGTCGCGGTTACTCAAAACGAAGTTCGAAAAAGAAGGGGATCGGCGCGAGAGGGCAGCACCGACAAAGATCGGACACAATCGGTCCATAGCCCACAGATAACCACTAAAATTGCGAGCATGTAAAGTACCCATCCCTTATCCATAGCGAAAAGCGAGTAGGCGCAAATACTAATATGAATAATGTTATTAATTTTAAACTGGCGTCACCAACTACTTTTATTAAAATATTAATTACAAAAAAAAATAAAGTTTGTGGCTCACAAAAAAAAATTCTTCCAATTGCGACAAAACCAGGATTTTTTTTTAATCTAATCTACTGTACCGATATTAATAAAATCTCTATGCGACTAATATGTAATTATATTATTTCAGATAAAAATAAAAAGAATATTTCAAATCGGTTTACAACTGACACAATTATGAGGGTATATGAAAATAAAAAATAAAAATATAAAACCTAATTGAGAGCTTCCTTTTTCGTTCCTATAATACTCTCCAACTATCTATCCCCTCTCACCGTACTGATTACGCTTCAAACTCTTTTCTCCTACATTCTTCACGACTCTGGAACGCGTTTCCTGATGCCATAAAGAGAGTACCGACTAAACCGTCTTTCAAAAAAACGTTCACGCTCACTTTTTTACTTTATTCCAGCAGTAAGTGCGTTATATTATTCTCAATTTCGTGTATAATATAGTATATATCATATATGTGTAAGTATATCTGTTATTCATATATATTTATTCGTTTATATATGTAATTTTAGTATGTATGTATATCAATAATTACTAGTACCGCATTCGAGTATTCTGACACTTCCCTACGGTTGACTGGGAGAGAATGCTTTTAGCATTAAGTCCGCCATGTACACATATTTGTACTAATGAATAAATAAATAAATAAAAAAAGTAAAATACGTTTATTTTCTTTCTTTTTTTTTCTGTTACAGCGAAATGCACAATCAACTGACAATTTCCCTTTGTTTAATTCTATAAAGAGATATGTATTTTTCTTTGAGATGCGTTCATGTACGGTATACGGTAAATGTTGATCGGCCGGCGCGCTCCCGTCGTCTGTGCGACGGGCCACTTGTTCTTTCTTCCCTTCTCGGTTCATTTCCTTAATGGAATAGCAGCATTCAGTTGATTGGAGAGGCGCAAACGGAATCATAAGGGAGATAGCGTTCGGTAGTGCTGGATGTAATGGATAGTGGGTTTGATGGTAGAGCTTACACAATTAGGGACTTATTTAGAAATATATTATAAACAAATAAATAAATATTTGCTGATGCATCTTAAAATGTAAATAATGAAAGGTATAATTTTTTTTTTATTATTTATACATGCATTTCATATAAGGTTGCCTGGAAGAGATCGATATTTAGCGATAAAGTCGCCCATTATTGCCTCTTTATCCTGCTTTTATGTAATAAAGTAATTATTTTTTTTGTGTATATATTACTAAACTTTATAATCTGTATCATTCTATGAAGAGAAGAAGAATAAGGAATTTTCATTTGTTCATTTATATAGTAAACTAGCTGACCCCGTAAACGTTGCTTTACCACTTATTGCGAAATATAAAAATCGCAATTAAAATACAGGGGTTGATCGTAAAACGATGAAAATTTAATGTTGTATGTATTTTTCAATGCTAAATCATAATAAAATAAAAATGGAAAAATTTGTCAAAAAAAATAAAAAAATATATTTTGGGGAGGGTCACCGTTATCATTGAGGGATATGAAAAATAGATTTTGGCCGATTTTCAGATCTACCAATATGCACACCAAATTTCATATCTGTAAAGCCGTTTCGGAGGAGTTTAGTAACAAACACCGTGACACGAGAATTTTATATATAAGATAAGTAAAGTTATAATATAATACTTAATAGTAAGGTACTTTACGTACTTAAAAGATATAATGATTTGTGTAATTTGTGGAGAAAATAAATAAAATAAATAAATTAAAAAAATATAGTACTTAAAAATCAGATCAGATTAGAAAGAAAAATTGTTATAAAAAATCCAAACTTGTAGAGAGTACCATCTCAGCAGATGTCTCTGTAGTGTCTGAAGCAACTATGGCCATGCTTAATACACGATGAGTCTATTGTACTAAGTGATTGAGCTATTCATATTGGAAACAATGGGTTTATTAGCTGATGTCAGCAAGGTAGCTTAATTCACCAGTATTACAGACTTAATTGTAAATAAATTTAATCCAAATTCATTTTGATCAATCCAATTAAGATAAATTGCATCCATTTTGAAGCGGCATCAAGTGGAAGAGAGCAGTGTGAAATCTTAATTTCTACGTATATCTAATTTGCACAATAGATAGATAGATAGGTAATTTATTTGCATTACTAACAGCACACAAATTACAACATATATAGATATAAATAAAAAGCGAGATAACATAATTAAAAAAAAAAATACATAAAGCCAAATACAATTTTTCGTTTATGCGTGTGCCATAACGATACAAAATGGCCACAACTCAGTTTAACTGCTTCGCCCTCAAAAGAGCAAAGCACTGGTATTCTGTTGCGGCCAAAGGGAATAGGGTAACAATAAAACAATACTACCAGATAATCTATACAGTAAATAGGTAGATATACAGTAAACAGACAGATATGACAGCTTATCTAGCAGACAAATGGAACAGCGAGGTAACTTGCTGGTGTATCTTAGTAAATTCTTAATTTTTTTTTGATGGGTGAAAATGGTATGGTAACCCCGCCTGCACTAACGGGATACACCGGCGGAGCACCAGTGAAGGGTGATAGATGACAATGAAAACAGGTCAGTTAGACCAGCGTGATGAATTCATCAGGAATTAACCATGATAGTTTCCAGAAAGAACCACGAAGAGGTCGATCTGGTTGGGTATATTGCTAGCAATGGGATTCTCAGTCTCCATTACTAACAATCCCTTTTCCCCCTTAAATTCTTAATTGGGTTTCCAACAAATAAAAAAAAAGGAATAGGTTTTTTTAATGGATGACAATGGAATGGTGACACCCGTGATACACTGCATACGTTCCTATTCTCACAGATTAAGGTATTATCCGAACCCTATAATCTCACTGCCATATCCCACCTTATACCCTTCAAACCGAAACACAACCATGCAAGTATAACTCCACGGTTACACGTCTTACAGTAAACAAATTAATAGTATCATATCTAACACCTTTCAGAATAACACCGTCATTACTTGTTCACACTATGACTCTATAGTATTAGCAAATTCAATAAAGGAAATTGAATTCTATTATATACGTACATAGCATCTATTATAGATTAATACGTCGAGATCGTGAACACAATCCGCATTCAGAATTGATACAGCCCATGGCATTATATACTTCCAATGATAAAAGACAATTCAACTTATATGTACCTACCGTTATAGAGCTGCATTCTTCTGCAAAAGGTCATAAACAATGAGAAAAGAGATGCCTGTCCCAATTATATATTTATCTTTCTTTCTTAATTGCACCTACTACAATACATAAAAATATACAATGATGATTAGATAATTTAATTAAAATAAAAAATACTTACCAACTGTTATAGAACTGTATACTTATGTAAAAGGTCATAAACAATGGGAAAATAGATGCCTACTTCAATTATATATTTATCTTTCTCTTTTTATTACACCTACTACAATACATAAAGATATACAATGACGATTATATAATTAAATTAAAATACAGAATATATATCGACTATTATAGAGCTGCATTCTTTTGCAATAGGTCATAAACAATGAGAAAAGAGATGCCTATCCCAATTATATATTTATCTTTCTTTCTTTATTGTAGCTACTACATAAAAATATACAATGGCGATTAGATATTTCAATTAAAATACAGTAGGAAAAAGTACAGATCAAGTTATGGACACAACAGTTTAAGATTATGTTCCAAAAACAAAATCAACTTCAATCGGGATGTATTTAATTATTTTAATTAAAATTACAATTATTTTGATTACAAAATACCTGATATTAATAAAATTTGTATGAAACCAATCTTTGAGTATATCCTTTCAGTTAATAAAAGAATTTTCCAATTTGGTCTATAACTGATAGAGCTGCAAACTTAAAAAAAAAATACATACCTCCTTCATTATGTAAATAATAAAAAATCAGCTCAAAATAATTTTTAAATGCAATTTTTGAGTTAAACATATAAAAGTATTTGCATCATATCTTGTAATAATACACCTCTTATATTGAAGTTTCAATACGTTTACTTTATGTCCATACATATGATATATTTTCTAAAATGATATATTTACTTGATATTCCTTTCTATAGCATCACTTAAACTGTCAATTCAAATATTGTTTGGACTTGTTTCGAATAATTTCATGTAAATACGTATCTAACTCAGTCGATGCAAATAAAAGATATTTGTTTTCATACAACATACATCCATTCTGATAGTAAGAGAAATAACTGTATTTATGGTGGTTAGTCACTATACACAATTAGACAAAGAGAAAATAGGTTTTTGTCAATTATATTATAATTAAAGATAATTTTCTAAATTAGCGAGTGTTTTTTATTATTATGTACCATTGTGAAGTGACAGATAATACGCGATCTTTGATTAGTAAATCAATTGTAACCCACACAATCGTAATGTTTCTTGCTATATGTAGGTGTTTTTTTTACAAAGTTGTACAGTATAAGAGAATAAAGACAAATTATGATAAGTGGTTACTAAAAAAATAAATAAAACCACTCTAATACATACACATATACATATACATATACATATACGAGTACATATACATATACATATACATATACATATACATATACATATACATATACATATACATATACATATACATATACATATACATATACATATACATATACATATACATATACATATACATATACATATACATATACATATACATATACATATATATATTATAAAAAAGAATAAGATATACTCACGTGTATATAGGCATTCGGTCGCCATCTTTGAATAGAAGCATCATGGCTACATCCCGCACTGGAGCGAACAGGTCGCACGGCAAACGTGTCATGCTGCCAGGTGCCGCCCATACTTGTATCACATCTGAAATTAAAAGGAAATTATAAAATAATTCAAATAGTACATATAGTATCCTATGTGCTAAGTCTGAATATATATATATATATATATATATATATATATATATATATATATATATATATATATATATATATATATATATATATATATATATATATATATATATATATATATATATATATATATATATATATAAGGAGCGCTACTGTACAAAAGTCGATTGCTTGGGTACCTCTGTCCCATTCGTGTTTCAACCGTGAAGCAGTTGTGTTTGCATGGCTGTGTTTCGATTTGAACGGTGGGATATGGCGTTAATTTACTGGGTACAAAGGAATAACACGTAAGTTCTCAGGAATGGCAACGCATGGGGGGTATCATGGGCGAAACAGTATACTCTGTTATGTCCATAGTAGTGCTCATGTCTATAGGCGAAGGTTACCACTTTATATCAGGTGGGCCGTCAGCTTTTTTGCCATTCTAAGTTGTACTTGTAAAAAAAAAAAAGTATTTTTACTTATTCAAATTCCAAATTTTACTAAATATCAGCGGCTTGTTTGTGATTAATTATTCTTTACGTAAATAAAAAAAAATAGGCAAAGTAGTAAATGTTCCAAACGAAATACAAACTATCGAGCTGATTTTAATGTTTACATTTTATCCGCTAGTCCAGTAATATTATATAATCGTATAAAAATGCATCCCATTTCAAGAGGCTATCCCCTTACAAACGACGGGAATCTGTCTAAACGGACCAAGCGTATATTCAAATATAACCCGTTTGATATCCGGCGGTAATTCTGAGGGTCAGAGCGGGGTATGTGTTCTCAGCCGTAAAATGAAGCAATCACAAATCTTCAATGCATGGCAGGGTTCAAAAATAAGTATTTGCAATTGGTTCCAATTCGTTTTTTTCCCCTATTTATTTTTAATTAAAACTCTTTTAATGAACATCAAAGAATTACATGGGTGGTGAAGAAAGGGATAGAGTTACTGATGCTTGATTCTTTCTCTGTCCTACGTAGGATCAAAGGTAAAGATATAAAAAGATTGATTGATCAATTACGTGGGTCTTCAGTTAATTAGGATTATATAACAATTTATAAAACCCATGAGGATCTCGTTCTCACGATGGGATATCATCATATAGAAAACTATAAGGTTCAGAACAAGAAGTTGAAATTAACTGTCTTTATAAAAAAAAAAAAACTAAATTGGTATTTTCATAGCACAAGTATTAGTAATCACTTTAATTTGTTTAAATTTAACAATGAAAAAACACACTGTATAACTACCCCCCACTAGATTGAGTGACGACCTTAAATGCATTGCAGGGAGTCAGTGGATGCAGGTGGCTCAGGACCGTTCCTTATGGCAGTCTATGGGAGAGGCAGTGGATAGATATGATGACAACAATGATGAATACAATATGGGACATTTCAAAAAAAAATCCTAACAACATTTAAAAAAAAAACAGGCAATGTACTAGTAACTCCTCTCGGGTTGCAAATGTTCATTGAACGACGCTAGCTGCTTATCATCAGATGGAATGTCTTCTCGTTTGCCTTTCTAGCAATTAAAAAAAACTTAATAAGAATAAATAAATCCAGTATTTGATCAGTATATTATTAGGTATTTATTAAAACTAACAATGGCATTTTTTTATACAACTTAGAATGGCAAACAAGCTGACAGCCCACCTGATGGAAAGTGGTAACCGTCGCCTATAGACATGAGCAGTACCATGGACATAACAGAGTATACTGTTTCGCCCATGATACCCCCCATGTGTTGCTATTCCTGAGGAGTCAGGTGTTATTCCTCTGTACCCAGTAAATTCACGCCATATCCCCACCCTTTAAACCGAAACACAGCCATGCAAACACAACTGCTGTACGGTTGAAACACGAATGAAGCAGAGGTACCCAAGCAAACTATAGTTTACTAATGAGAACTTAAATTTTGACAATCAAAGTGACAATTTCTACCAATTTGAAATTTGCTGCGTGCTCTTTAAAAATATAATCACTGAAATCAGTAGCGAGAAATAACAATCTCTTTCGTTATAGATGGCATTTTGACGCAAAAGCAACTGGGGCTTGCTTTTGTGTGACTCCACATGACAAACGAGATACGACCTCATTATTTTTGAAACCTCATTCAAAAGATAAAAGATTTTTTAACAGAAATCATCGAAATTTGTGAAAAAGGCATTGTCCGTTTGTAACTTTTACTTCGGCTAAAAGAAAATAAATTTTATTTTAATGACGCATAAACCAATTTTGTAGACCTCTGGTGTCTTCTTATTTCGCGTTTTTAAATTCAATTCACACATTTCATTTCAAGAAGGCTTTGATCATGTAATTTTACTTAAAATAATGTAATCCGACAATACAAGCTCAGTTTTTTAACGGTTCCACAGAGCGAATGGTAATGGTTTTCGGATAACATTAACATTGTTTTTGTCTACATTTTTACGAAATATATCAAAGCTTTTCACGTTTTACAATTCGCTAAAGATGTACAAAGCTTTTGGATTATTCTTTCTTTTTTAATGCGAGATAATTTTAAAAGAATATTAAAAAGAAATAAAAAAATTACTGTGTTAAAGAACAAAAATTAAAATATATGGTTACTCCCTATAGGTGTTATGGTTATTATTGTGTTAAGAATTGATCTGAAGTATACTATATGAATCGATTTTTATATCATTGGCCAAATACTGTCCCTTATTAAGCTTCCTTTTGTTTTTGTTGATATAAAAACTCTTATTTAAATACACTATCTGGACTTAACGCGTAAATTTTTTTTTGCAAGTGTATATTTACAAAACGTCAGCAAATAAAGAAACAGATATGTAGGTACTAAATACCTGCAAAAAAATTGTTTATTTAAATATGTGAAAATTACGCGAAAGTTCATATTTGATATTCATATTTTTTTTTAAATTAAAATCGACAATCGCCTCCATAGATATTGGATATCCAATGGACTCCGTATAACAATACCCCGAAGATTATTATATTATATGCCCATTTGACCTAATTCGATTTATTCCCATAACATTGTTCGACTAAATCCCATCTTCAAATAAATACTTAACAAGATGAGTTCCATAAAAGTCTATTGTGTAATAACTATGTTGAAGAATTTATATATAAAATAATTATTAGGTATAGGAATGAATTTTCTAAATGGTGATAACCTATTATTATTATATTCTTAGAGACGCATACAAGCTGACGGTGCATCTGACGGAAAGTAATTAACATCGTCCATAAACGTTTCCAATACTAGTGTTTAAAAAATTTGTAAGTACCTTTTTTGGAGACATACATAAATTGGTACAAGGAAAAAATCTTAGAAATAAAGTATACTTAAATTTACACATTCTTAAAGAATCTAATGATTTCCAATGTCAGAGGATATAAAGCTAGTGGCCAAAATCCGAATGTGGTAGAACAAGAGACAAAATTCTTGATAAGTAAAACGAGCGCAAGATTCGTCTGATCCCATATTCTGGAAATGAGATCAGCTAAAAATAAAGAACGCTTCGCTTAACAATGACATTTTATTGATTTTCACTAAATTCTGTTTTTTTTTTTTTAGATAATTGAAAATTCTCCTTGTTTTTTTCCTATTTAATTTTCTTTTTATCCGCGTCTCGGAATGGGAATTTTTGGATCAGGAATGTCTCATTAGGATTTAATTGATTAAATCTGGGATTGTTCTTGCGACTGACCCAGATATTTCAATACGTTTATTTTTGTTTTCTTCGAAAAACGTATCGGATGTTTCTTTATTATCATTTATAACTTGTAAAATTTCATGAAACTAACTAATTACTAACAATTTGTGTACACGTTCAATGCATTGTATTTAAGAGAATTTATGTATAGTTTTCTATAAGTAATAGATACATTACATCAACGTGACTTGCTTTATATAATATATTACAATGTAACAAGATTACATAAATAGGGCATCGAGCCTCAAAAACGGGTCAACTTTTTGTCAGCTAATTTAACAATTAATGACTCGTTTTTCTTTATTAGTATTCTATATATTTACACACACACAATGTACCTTGGCGTACCTATATTTGATTATTTAATAAATAAAACGAGATTTTGGGCATTAAAACGGTGCAAAATTTATAAGATAAAATAAATATAAAACTAAGAAAGGAATCAATCACTCATAACTATTTATCACGCAAAATTGTATGAAAAAGTTGACCCACTTTTCTCGAAGTATTTGTATGGTTTGTATGGAGACATTTTATCTACATAATCTAAGGATAATATTTAAGTTTTTCATTCCCCATTTCTTTTATATCGATTAGACATTTTTCGCGGTTTTTTTTTAAGTGAAGTCTATGTTGTTCTTCTCATTTATGCTCACCTATAGTCCAATATTTGTTTATCGTTTACAGCAATATTTTCATTAAGTTTAGATACTTGTGTAAATATATGTTCTAAAACTTTCCAAAATTATCAATCAATATCTAATGTCAATATAAAATCAATTTTTACTAGAGGTTCCCTTCATTACATTTAGTTTTCTAAGGTCATATAGTCTTAATAATATCACGATTTGCTATTCAATCGATCTTCTTCAATATTTCGACTTTTATATTTCTAAATAAAACACCAAGCATATATTCAGCATTAATCTTTACATCACAGGAACCACTTCACAAATGTGTTATGAATTAATAATTCCACTCAAGCTGCTAATGTTGCAATCGAGCTGATTATGGCTTCTGTGAATTTATTATGCACATTACTTGATACGTGTGAGTGCCTAATCTCGTGAGCTTTCCAGGGACGCATATACATACAGATTTTATTATCAAACAATCAAAGTGGAATGTATGTGAATACGCTAACGCCTCTCACTAAGTAAGCCTGATTTTGCAGGGTATTCAAATTTTATCCGAGTATTAATACCGAAATAGAATTAGAAATATAAATAAAAATAAAAAAATCAAAAACATTAAAGAA